TCTCAAGCTTTTAATTTAGACTGTGATCTTAAGCTTTTAACTTAAATTGTGAACTCAAGGAACTCAAGCTTTTAATTCAAATTGTGAACTCAAGTTTTCAACTTAAATTGTAAACTTAAGCTTTTAACGTAAAATGCGATCTCAAGCTTTTAATTTAGACTGTGATCTTAAACTTTTAACTTAAACTGTGAGAACTCAAGTCTTCAACTCAAATTGTAAACTTGAGTTTTTAACTTAAATTGTGAACTTAAGCTTTTAACTTAAATTGTAAACTCAAGTTTTTAACTTAAATTGTGAACTGAAGCTTTCACCTTAAATTGTGAACTGAAGCTTTTACCTGAAATTATGCACTTAAATGCTGAATTTAAATTGCTCACTAATGCTTTTAACTTAGATTGCGCACATAAGATTTGAACTTGTACCATGCACTTAAGCGATGAACTTCGATTGTGCACTTAAGTTATGGACTTCAGATATTACATTTATGCTACGAATTCAAATCGTGCACCATAGTAATAAACTAAAGTTACCCACTTAAGTTACAGGTTCAAGTCCGCACCACCATCTTCGGTATTTCCGGCAGATGAATTTCGTTCCATAAATCGCCAGAGAACGCGGAGAGGATTCGGGTGTGCAGATGGGAGTATAAATGTGGTCGTTCGCACCTAATCGGGATCAAGTAAGGCTCGAGGTTCCGCAAACGTTTCCCTGGCCTGGTGAAGCGTTCAAGGCACTCAGCAGATGAGTCTCCGTTTCGCTTTTTATCGGGAGATCGGCTCTTCCGGTGTCCTGGGAATCAAGTTTGCCGAGGACTGTCGCCGTCACGTCGAATCGTCCGGCCCCGGTGCGTCGTTCTTTCCCCGGATTAACGTTCGCAACTGACCGATCGACCGTCCCCGGAGCCTGTCGCTAACTTTCATAATTCATCGGCAACGCTCGCAGCCCTCTCCACGGTTTATACGAAGGGCGACGAGACGTAACGAAGCTCCGCTCCGCACCGGCGACGCGCTTCGCTTCCCGTTGAATCGGAACTCTAATCCCGTCTAAATCGGGCCCGGTGTAATAAATCCGGTATGATTTAATTACGACTCGTCGCGGTGCCATTCCGAAGTATTTAACTTAATCACGGATGTAAATGCCGCCGCCATTAATCTCGGAAGTTGGTGCTCGCCGGCTCGCCGGCCGCGCCGGGATTCTAATCAATTTCTTTCGCTGGATCCGAAGACGCTAACTCCCGCCGGTAACTTTCGCTGTCCCGGCGACTGGAACTTAAATTAAGTCTCCGCGCGTGACTCTCTTAGGGCACTCGATCTCCGGTATTTATGCTATTGCGCGCGTTCACGCCGGCCGATGTCTCCATGTTCCTCCAGGAACCACCGCGCGCGGAGTCAGATACTTTTATTCCATGAGAGACGTCCACTTTGTCGGCACTCTTTTATTACAAGTAAAATTAGTCTGCTAATTCTACTTTTATCTATTTTGAAACTCTGTACGTCTCTAGTAGGGCAAGTGTCGGTATTACTGCGGACGGCCCAAATACTGCGGTGTTTTATACAAGTAATAAAATCTAGCACTTTACAGTGTGTAATCTCCTAAAAATGAATCTCGTAATCTTTTGTATGTTTAATATTGATAATTTACGACATGCAAGCAACTGCAATCGCAATTTTAGTTCATTTATTGACTTTTGATATTCGGAAGCTTGTGAAAACGTCGAGTCTTATGAAATACTCCTAACACTGATTCGAAACGCATTTATATTTTGGTAATTAATAATGAACTATTCTTTTTCAGCGTTATTTTTTAGATAAAGTAAAATGCAGATATTGACACGTAATGTTCTGGATCGAAGTGAAATTAGGTTCTTGTGTTACGAAGATCCCTATGAATATAAAGCACATACAAGAAACAAAAATTGTGTCGCTCTATTAGGGGAAATAATAAAGTAAAATACAGATATTGACATATAATGTTCTGAATCGAAGTGAAATTAGGTTCTTGTGTTACGAAGATCCCTATGAATATAAAGCACATACAAGAAACAAAAATTGTGTCGCCCTATTAGGGAAAATAATTTACTAAGCATGAATGTTATTCGTTTCTCCTAAATCGAAATAAGATCAGAGTCTTCTGTTACGAAGATTTGGGAATGAAAGTAAATGAAGATATACCGGGAATATAAAAATTGTCTCGTTCTATTAGGGAAAATAATTTACCGAAGTATGAACGTTATTCGTTTCTCGTAAATCGAAACAGAAATAGATACAAAATCATGGAACAAAAATAAATGAAGGCACACAAGAAACTAAAATGATTTCTAAAGATGTGCAGAATATATTAACACATTACCGTGTTCGGACGTCTAAAAATAGTCATTCTCTTGACTGCTCGTGAAATACCACATGACTAAAAACAGTAATTTCCTTGCTTGCTCTTGAACTATGATTTAAAATAAAAAATCCAGTCATAAAACTGATTTGTGTATTTGAAGTCCAAATGAAAACAATTTCGAATGAAGCAACATATCTTATAATTGAATTCAAACTGTCTGACATTTTATAAGCCCGGACCGTACTGTGTCAACAAACGAGATTGCGAAAGGCTGAGAGACGAAAACACAGGACACGCAAATATCCAACGAAGAGTCTAACCTGGCAGAATAATAAAATGAATTTTAATTGCGACGAATATCCCGGGAGCGACGGTCGAAACTCAACTCGAGCATCGAATGCACCTCTTCGAGGCACGTCTGCAATAATCAGCGGCACCAATAAGAAAGGTATGTTTTTCCATTTCCGCGAAACAGGCGACGCGCCGACAAACAGCGCGGCGGCGCCGAGCGGCGCCGAGCGGCGTCCGCGTCTGTAAACCAATTTAATCAAGCCCGCGATAAAACTGATGCGGCGAATATTAGATTCCGAAATGGATTGCTAGTATAAATCCCGCGTGAAATACGAACGCGTGCGCGTTCCAGCCGGAGGCCTGCGAAATAAAAATGCAAAGAGAGAGGGAGAGAGTGAGAGTGACCGAGAGAAAAAGCGCGCGAGGGCAGGGATTCGACGCGATAATCGCGCTATCGACGCTTCGCTGGATATTTACAGCCGCGACACGGGGGAAAAAAGCGTTTAACTCGTCGCTCGGTCCATTGGCGAGGCCCGCTGCGGAATCCGCGCGATTCCGCTCGATCCCGCTCGCGGTCGATAAAAAGACGAGCGAGCGCCGCATAGCGGTCCGTAGTGGCGGGGTTGTGTCAAAATCGGCGAACTTTTCATAGAAATCAGATAAAGCGATGATATTTCTTTTATGTTGAAGCTGAAACGTTGGAGAATAAGGGATAAATAAACAGAATGACAAAAAATCGATTGAAGTGAAAAAGCTAACGAAATCGCGATTTTTTCGCCGAAATCGTTTGATAATCCACTGATCTTTTTCTCGGGATCTCGGAGTGCTGGATACATTTTGTGACTGGATTTGAAACAAGCGTGTCAAAATCTACCGGAAATGATGATGTATAACAGGTCATTTAAAAAAAATCGAACTGCGCATTGCATTGGATATATCACAATTTTGTTAGAATATTTTAACCCTTATATTTCTAACCCTTTGTACTCGAGTGATGACTTTGAGACACGACTAAAAAAAAATTGTTGCATCATGTTACAAAATAATTTTTACATTATCATGTTTGCTTACATTTAAAAGACTCGGTTTTATATGCATAAACTGCATTCGTATAAAATGAATTAGCGTACGTCAGAAAAAATATCTTGAATTTAGGGTTGAAATAGCTTCGAAATTTTCGACGTCGAAAATTGTTCGCGCGACATTCTCTATAATTTTTTTTTCGTTCCGGAACACTTTGAGAGTTCAATTGAACACTCTGACTGCCGCATGCACTATATTTACGTGACGGAATTATTTGCTCAGATTCGAAAACTAATTTTTCCGCTATTCTATTGTACGACCCTATTGTTTTATTAAGATCGTAAGATGTAACAACGTTGAGAAAATAATTTACGTCACAGAAATTTAACTTTTCAATTTTGATTAACGCGTTCCATGCCATTGAAGAATCTATCGTCGTCAAAATAACAAAGTATCATAGAAAAATACAGTATAAAAAAAAACAAGTAAGCTTGTTTAATTATCGCATACACAGTGGCCGAAACGAAACATCAAATGAACGAATGAAAAATTGAACAAAAACGACTTGGCACGGAACTCGTTAAATAAAGTGCTTTAATTTAACGAAATTTTGATTTGCAGTCAAAGTGTCGAAACGAAAGTCATCTCTTTGACCGATCTCTGTCAAAAGTGTTACGACTTTAACAAGACTTCGTCACGTCGGGCCACTGTGCGCCGGTTCCGTGGCTCGGTGTGCCGGGACGGGTCCGATGGGCGACGGATAATGTTAGCCGCTGAAAGAATGCATTACGAAGTGTGTACACGAGCCGGCGCGGCCCCCTCTCTATGCAACTCCAAAGAAAACAAACCGGCGCTTACACCGTTCCCGCATTTGCTCGCTCGGATATGTCCCAATTTACACGCGCCGCCGCGATATTTATTTTGCCTGCGCCGCGGAATCGCCGCTCCGCGCCGAACAACGGGCGAAAGGAGAGTGTCTTCGGGGGGACACCGGATTGTTTAACTTGGAACGTGGGCGCCGCATCCCCTCGCGAACGATTAGCCGCGCGCGAGAGCGTGTTGCGAGCGTGGTCCCGCGTTTCTTGAACTCGGGCGAGCCGGTGCCTGCCACGGGATGTTTGCGGGACCTTGTGCCAAATGGTCGCTTTCGACTGTCGATTTGCCGAGAGAGCACGAGGATTCGTTTGTTTTAATCTCGACGACGACGACGACGACGACGACGACGACGACGACGACGACGATGACTCGGTCGTACGATGGCGGTGGTTGGCAAAAGTGCTGAGCAGAGTTGCCAGGGAATATGTAGCTGATTTTTCCCCCACTCCCACCGACGAGTCTCGGACAGGAGGGCGCTGAAGTAGCCGAAAAGCTGACCCACGCATCGTCACAGTAATTTCTCTCGCATTGTCTCTCAGCGTGGAAACGAAAAAACAGGGGAAGAGGAGGTACGATTAGTAACTCTTTGCACTCGAATGGCGAATTTTTACGTTACTAAATTTGCTTTCATTTAATAAACGAAATTCTACATGAGCAATTCTGCTACTCAAAAAGCGAATAAAAGTCGAGAAAAAAACATTTGCTTTCATTTAATAAACTGCACATAATTTAAGAATAGCACGAGTAAGTGTTCAATTCTACATGTTCAATTCTACTACTCAAAAAGCGAATAAAAATCGAGAAAGAGAGTCTCCTAGATTGCAAGAAATGTCCAGAGTTTTGAAGTTAAAATGTCTTCGAGTGCAAAGGGTTAACTGCCGATTATCGCGAGACTCGAATAATCGTATCTCCTCGTTCGAAGTTGTCCATTTTCGTTCCCAAGCTGGGGAACAATGTGAGAGAAATTACTGTAGTGCTGTCACGTGTTCCCCTCCATTACACTAACTTCAGTTTGCCGACGATTACGGGGCACCGAGCAGGAGGGAGGGCAATGAGATTCCCCTCGCGCCATCAATTCCCTGGCAACACTGGTGCTGAGTTCTGCAAAGCAGGCTGCGTAGCCGCATCGGTCGGAACTTACGACTGCTGCAAGAGCTTGTTGACGAGGCAGTCCCGCTGGCAAACACCGGCTCCTGCTTGCGAAACAATAACTTCCACGATCGGCCGTACTTTTTCCACTTTAGATCGGGAACTCGGGAACAAGAGGCTCTCCGACAGTTTCGAGATGCGCCGAGTTGCGATTCGAGGTACTAAGTGGAGACAACTCTCATTTTATGTTTATCGTGTGTCGTGCGTATCTGTAGCTTTGTTGTAACATATGAGTATACTTAGTGTTTTATATGTTCATATATTTCATATTGCTTCATATTATTAACAATTACTTAAGCCTTGTTACTTAATCGTGTTAACAATTGTTTAATATAACATTCTTTTAACAAGAAATATATTGAAATCAGTCAAGATGAATATGGTTTCTGATTATTTTTGTTACATTTCCTGATATTGTAGAAAATATTTCTACGAATAATTCTTGGACTAACATCTTTATTCGAGCATTTAATATAACAGAAATCGTGCGATATTTAAATAAATCCAATCTTGGCATTGTTACAAACAATATACATTAGTCGCGTTTAGGGCACTGTAGATCTAGCGTTAATAATAATCGAAAAATAATAAAATAAAATAGAATAAAATTAAAAAAATATAATCTTTACATCACATTGTAAACATTACTGCAAATTAAGTCGCAAAATAGTCTCCAATAGGGCTCGAAACTGCATTCATATAAAAAAATAAAAATATTAAATTAAATTAAAAACAAAAGTGCTACAAATCATCAACCTAAAACCCTTGACCTAATTAGCATCAATCGGAACATTGTGAAACGGTGGAAATAAAGAACAACCGACGTAGCATTTTCGTCAAGTTTCCGCGAATCAAGTTGCCGGGCGAACAAGCCACGGAAATCTCGCAGTTCGGCCACTCGATCGGCGGTCGAACGACACGCCGACGATTATCGGCTTACACCCCCGCAAGCCTCGTCGTCGCGAACATTAAACCAGATTAGCGATCGATCGAGGCGCGAACCGCGGAGCGTGCGGCCAATTTTCGGCAGCCGAACCCGGAGCGGATTCGCGCGCGGCCAAGACGAGGACCGCGGTCTCTAATGAAACACGCTCGGTGAATCAGCTTGTCGGCCGCGTATAAATACTCGCGCGGACCATCCCTTCGCGACGTTTCCGTGGAACACGAGACCGCCCAATGAGAGCCCGCGACACAATCGTCGCCGGATAGACCATCCGGCGAGCATAATTTATCCGTTCTTACGACTCGGCCGCGAACAATGCCAACAGTGCGCTCGCCGTAATCGATACATTGTCCCCCGGACGGGGGCGTCGCTGTAAATCATCTCTTACTGCGTCTTCCCTTGTTTCCGAAAACGAACAATCGCGCCACCGAGTCTGCTATTCTCTGCTTCTGTTTTCGTCATCCAGCTTTTTCAATCTCCATAGATTAGAGAGCACGTGTGCTAAACGATTTTTAAGCGCCAGCAGAATTATGGAAACGTTGATGCATCGGGTATGCGGTCTGTTTAGTAAAAGATTCATGAAAATGTCCCGTCTGCTGCTTGAATTTATGAAATTAATTAACAATGGGTTTACGGAGACCGTCGAAATTATGAATCTTTTATCATTCACGATTATTCCGGTTGTAAAGGTCGCTCATGAGTTATTTTGTTCATGCGTTACTTGCGGTAAATATAATACGATGACATTCGTTCAAAATCAGAATAAATGTGTTTCATAAAAGAGAGTTTCATAAAATTAAAGTGTTTAATTCAATTGAATTAAAATTGCAAAGCGAAGTTTTTTTATATGACATCAGTTACCTTTTTTAGCATTCTTACCTCTTGCGAATCTTAATAGAACTGAGAAACTAGAAAGGATTAGCGTGAAAATGAATTTTTAAATAATTCTGCAAACCACACATGGGTGACGCGGCAGTCAAAGTGTTAATGAAATGAAGCTTACTATTGTTTAGTAAAACGGGTGAAAATACATTCTGACCAATCTAATATAACGCCAATACATACGTATATTGATTGATCATGACTGAGATTTCAAGTAAGAACCTATCAAGTACGAATGCTATTCCGTTTACTTCAGTCCGAATCAAATTCGGATTTCTTGTCGCCGATGTTTAAACATTCAAGTGTATGTAAACCCGCAATAAATATAAACTGTCTTTCTTCTTCTTAGACATGATCACCATCGAGAACCTTCTGATCGCTGTAACCGTAAAGAAAATGTTACGACAAGGGGTTGAACCCTCGCCACGCCGAAACCGTGAGAAAAATTCTCCTCCGAAGGAAGTTGTAAAACGTGTAGGCACGGAGATCGCCAAGAAGGTCCATGTTCCGTCGCAGAAAACGGAATTGTCCGACTGGCTGTCGCACAACAGGTGATCTCGCGTCAATCATCCGTCAGACGTTTCCTCGTTGCCAGAAGACACATGTGCGCCGGTGATATTTCGCAAGCTGGCACACGGCCGTTCCCCCGAGGTGCGAAGGAGGCGCACCGAAATAACCTGCGCCACAAAGTAGCCCAGCGGAGGATTCGGGAGCCGACGTCATCGAGAATCAACGAGATTTATCAATGGCCGGCCGGCCGGCGCGGCGGCAGGCACCTCGAGGATTCCCGGTTAACCACTTTGTTACCGAGGACGACGTATGTATCTCGAATCGCAATTTCCATGTTTCAAAGTACGAAACATAGAACTTGTCCGAACATTTGTTTTCACAATATGTATTCCGGTGTCCAAACGTTCCACTATAATGTAAGAATAATGTTTACCAGAATCCTGTTCAATCCATTCAAATAAATAACAGTATTTTTAACATCAAATCTTTATTATTTAGATTTTGGATTATTCCAAGTAATAACGATGAAAGCATAGAAGGACATCGATTAACACTAGAATTAACACTAGTCCAAACGTTTCACTGTAATGTAAGAATAATGTTTACCAGAATCCTGTTCAATCCATTCAAATAAATAACAGTATTTTTAACATCAAATCTTTATTATTTAGACTTTGGATTATTCCAAGTAATAACGATGAAAGCATAGAAGGACATCGATTAACACTAGAATTAACACTAGTCCAAACGTTTCACTATAATGTAAGAATAATGTTTACCAGAATCCTGTTCAATCCATTCAAATAAATAACAGTATTTTTAACATCAAATCTTTATTATTTAGATTTTGGATTATTCCAAGTAATAACGATGAAAGTATAGAAGGACATCGATTAACACTAGAACTACCAAATCAGTCAAAATGACTGGTTTCTGATCGCTTCTTTTACAGTTCTCGTTATTCTAAAAATGCTTCCAGGAGAAATTTTTAGGTAAACTTCTTTATTGAAGCATATATTATATAACATAAATTATACGCAGATTAAATAAATCCAGTCTTGACATTGTTATAAAACAATATACAGGTTATCCCATAATTATGTTAACAAGGTGATTCCTCGGGTCATTTGAAGTAACTTTTTCCTTAGCGAGAACGCAATCCGCGGCTTCGTTTACGAGTTATTAACGAAAAACAGCAACCAATGGGAGGCAAGATCAGCTGGCGCGAGGCGGCTGAGCCAATAAGCGCAACTGGGCTCCGTCCGCTTCGGCCGCGGCAGCCGAGCTCGCCTGTCATTGGTCACCGTTTTTCGTCGATAACTCGTAAACAAAGCCGCGGATTGAATTTTCGCTCAGGAAAAAGTTACTTCAAATGACCTCGGGAATCACCTCTTTCCAGATGTTAACATAATTATTGGACACCCGATTAGTTGAGACTCAATAGTTCTAATGTTAAATCTGGAGCTATCATCTTCAACCATTATATTAATGATTTATCGAAAATAAAAAGAAATTTACTAGCAATTAACAAACATGGAGACGCGAGATATCTCGTCCACAGCGTCGCACAACCGATACAGCATCAGCGAGATACCTCGTCCCCGGTAACGGAAGGGTTAATCCTCGAGCAGTTCTCGCGAAGTCCGCGGATCCAGCTAATAAATTTCGACTTTGCCATTGTTCGGATGTGCTCGCAGCACGGCAGCAGTATGCAAACGAGTTTCCCAGCGGCTGGAAATCCTACTCGAGCCCCCGCGCGCACTGAGGCGGTCGGCGGAGGGGAGGGGGGGTCTCGATTGCTTCCGATTAGCCCCGAAAATCACCGGCAACTTTTCCCCGACGAGGTACTCGTGTCTCTCCCCATCTGGTTCTCGCGCGAGTAGTCGCTCTAATCGACGCCGGAGTCCTCGACGGAGCAATCAACGACCGGTTCCAATGAAATTCTGTTATATTTAGACGTAACGAGCGCCGGCCAATCGGCGGACGAGTGGCCGTGGATAGGAACCGAAGAGATAGGAGAAGAACCCGGTAACAAATCGAGCGAACGATGGAGTCGAGACTGTGCGTGCGATGGCACTCGAGAGATCTCCACTTATGGCTGCTCGACGCTACGCGTCGGAGAGCATGGGCTCGCGGCGACGACGACGAAGGGCGACGCACACTGGGAGAAACGGCGGGTCTAGATGGAAGAAAATCCTATTCATCAGTAATGCTGTTTATGCTAACTTGTGCATGTATATGGTCGATGCAAACGGGAGACTTCGAGCTTTCGTTTCCTGTTCATTTTAAACGGGAACAAAATGTTCCGATTGCAAGAATTAAAAGAAAGCGATTAAATTTTGGGAAAATCTGTTCTCTGTTGTTTAAACTTTAGATATCATATAAATTTGAAAGCGGTATCTCTTGACAGTATTTAGATATTCGCTTCCAAAGGTATAAATGGTATAAATGGTATAAATGAAATTTATACCAGTCTCCAGGACTTTTATGACAAAAATGAGTAAGTCAAATGAAAAACTGAAACGGCATTGGAAGAATTCAAGGATAATTTTATATCATGTTCCACTTACTATGATTGTTAAAAGAATAAAGATAATTTCAAGTGATTTATATTCCTCACAACTAGCGGTAATTTTGACAATGAGACAATTTTTATTTTGCACGAAGATCCGAGAGTCTACTAATATGTTTACCAAATAAATCACTACGGTTGGCCTCGGTAAACATTCTGGAAGAAGACTAAATAGAAGAGAAGCTGTATCCATTTCCTGACATGACTTTTCACCACCTGGATTGCCCATTCGTCCCACAATGCGACGCCATCCCATCGCATCGCAGCTCTCCCAGCATCCCACACAGTGTCTGTCTCGAGTGTTGCTGAAATTGCTGCCGGATGACGTCGTTGTAGTTCCTGGAGGAGCTCGTCAGTCACCCCGGAGCCACCCCACCCGGGATAGCACCCCTTAACCCCCGGCGTAAACGTCCACGTGACGAATTACCTGGAGAATAAGCGGCTTCTTCCTCGCGGCAACGTCCTGCAGAACCGTTCCTCCTCCTTCTCCCCCTCGCACCCTCGCGTCTAATTAATTTCCCGCTTCGTCGAGAACTTCGACGCTTTCTCTTTTTTCTACCCCGGACGCTACAACACCCGGCCTCCTTTTTGCGTCCGGATAATTAACGAACGAAGCCTGGCCGCCACGCCGGACCCAGCAGCCGTGGACGTATCGTTCCGTCCCGCTCCGTCCCGTCCCGTCGTTGTTGCCAAAGAGAAACAACGCAGCCTCTCGTGGGACGTCAATTAGCGGGGTTCTTCGCCCGCTTTTCCAGGCCCCTTTTTTCGCCGCCCCTCTACCCCGCCGGAGAAATTTATACGGACGACTCGCCGCCGTGTCCCAGGGATTGCTACGACGTCGTTCGCGCGAGCGAGCGAGCGCGCGCCCGCCACGTTGAATAATGGACGAGGTGGTTTTCCGAAAAATACGAGAGGAACCGACGCGAAGGTGTCCGTGCATCGTAGTTTTCGCGCGACCAAACACCGTTTCTACGAACGAGAGCGAAGAGCTGCGGTACGCGCGGCCCAAGTTGAACAAAGACGCAGAGAGAGAGAGAGAGAGAGAGAGAGAGAGAGAGAGAGAGAGAGAGAGAGAGAGAGAGAGAGAGGAAGAGAGGGCTTGCTACGACAATCCTCGAGGATGTCTCGAGACCCGTCGCCGCACTGAATCTAACGAGCCCTTCGAGCGACTCGCACACGTTGGCTTATTGTTAGGACAACGTGGAGATCCAGTTTATTTAGACGCGGCTTTTATTATGCGATCTGGAAGACGATTTTTATTGGACGATCTTGATGGCGATTTTTATTAGACGGTCTTAATGGCGATTTTTATTATGTGATCTCGATGGCGATTTTTATTAGACGTTCTTGAAGACGATTTTTATTACGCGATTTTGAAGACGATTTTTATTNGAGAGAGAGAGAGAGAGAGAGAGGAAGAGAGGGCTTGCTACGACAATCCTCGAGGATGTCTCGAGACCCGTCGCCGCACTGAATCTAACGAGCCCTTCGAGCGACTCGCACACGTTGGCTTATTGTTAGGACAACGTGGAGATCCAGTTTATTTAGACGCGGCTTTTATTATGCGATCTGGAAGACGATTTTTATTGGACGATCTTGATGGCGATTTTTATTAGACGGTCTTAATGGCGATTTTTATTATGTGATCTCGATGGCGATTTTTATTAGACGTTCTTGAAGACGATTTTTATTACGCGATTTTGAAGACGATTTTTATTATACGATCCCGAAGGTGATTATCATGATACGTTCGAACCATGCCCCCTGGACGCATCTTTATTGTTCCAATAATTTTGAAACGCGATGTCTGAAACTTGTCGTTTGACCGAAACAGTTTGGTCTCTTAAAACACTTTATTCGCAGTATGTCCATGACATAGTTGTGCTAATTGTATTACATTGTAATTCAATTACATTGTATTGGAATTACATTGTCAATCAATTAAGTAATTCGAACCTTTGAGTTAATTCAATTATTGATTGTTTTAATCACGAGTGCAATTAAAACACCATGTAATTGAATTAGAATGTAACTGAATTACTTGTAATTATAATTCCTCGAGTAATTAAATTTTCATTCTGCACAGCTCTGATCTACAATGGTCTGCTATGGTCGGACTGGAACTGTGCCCGCGATTGCGTTGATCCAAAGGATTTCCTGGATTATAGACGAGATTAGTGTACTTTTTAACGCTGAACCTACCCCACAATCGAAATAATCGGTTTATTTCAATATTTTACAATGTTTACGAACTCTTTCACGAGAGAAGCTTGAATAAGTAACATTACCGTGGCAAGTTTTGCAATAAACACTTTATGAAATCTAAATTAATTTGATCTTCTCACTTTTATAAGTTAGCCGCACCAGTCATTATTGACTTTAACACTAAACCTATCGCGGTCAAAATAACCGTTCTCTTATTTTGCAATTCTACAAATTTTAGAGACTCTTTCATGAAAAATGCTTGAATAAATTATAGTATTGGAGCAAGTTTTATAATAAAAACTTTACAAAATCTAAATAAATTCGATCTTCTCACTCGTATGAAGCAATGCACTCCAGGTACTATTACTGCTTGATAGGTTTAAATGTTAAATAAGTTTTAAGAAATTCTCAACTATATTTTTCCTAAATTTCACGAGAATCATGTACTAGAAAATTACCGGTAAATAAAGCGTTAACACATGAATGACTCAGCATTTCAAGCGCATCCTTGAGCAACTCAACTCCCAATGATTGAAATTAACCGTTTGAGTCCCAAGGGTCATTGAGAAAACAAAACACGGTCGAAAAATGCCGAACAGCGCTTGTCTTAATATGCCTACTATTAGTTGATAAATATTTCAAGTTCCGTTCAATAAAAATTATTGAGAAGATAACAATGAAATACAAAATGTGTTAGTTGCATTATTTACATTTAAAAAAAAGCAGCTATGCGATGCACGCGCGTCGGTGAAGTTGAGCGAACTACAACTTCGACGATCTGTGAATGCGCCGCCAGTTGTTCATAATGTTCAAATGACCCGGGATTTTTCGACACAAAATCTAAACGACGCGATCGCTCTGCTCGGGACTGAAACTGGGGTCGAAAGGTGTTCGACCGAGTGCAACATAAAGATCGACGAAGGTAGAGGTAAAGTTGAGGCGGCCTGCTGAGGATGGAGGTACGTTTTGCCAATGTGTCAGAAATAATATAAAAATTGTATCGTACACGACGTTTTCCCAAAGAAGGTGCCGGGGTAAGTGGGCGAGAGGGGTCACGGACAATCACGGGCCTCTCACCCATCTCGCCAGAAGGCGACGCCTTTCTCACTCCGAGGCGAGACACTCCAGGAACAAAGTCCCGATTCTTTAGCAAGGCGACGTCGTCGAGTCGCTTGCCTTTCCCAAACATACATACGTACTTTGTTTCAATAAACAGGCTTCGACACTCGATAGCCGGAAGACCAGAAGACCCAACGCGGTCGCCGAGTCTCCAACCGGCGTTCGTCGTCGAGTCTGTTTAGTCTCATTCATCCTTTAGGCCTCACGAGGGAGAGGCCCTCGTGCATCTCAAGATCCAATCATAAATCTATCAAAGACCAAGCATCTTACCGAGATCTACGAAACACATTTTTTAAATTTTCGTTATAGGCTCAGATAAAGAAGTCAAAAAACGAGAGTTCTTTATTTTCTTTTGTCATTCTAAGCAATAGCAGAATTTTTAAAAAAATGCATTCTAGCTCTAGTAGATAGTAGACTGGTTTCTTTATCATCTAGGCAAAATTCAAGTTTAGTCCAGCTCTAAAAAAGTTATTGTGTTCTAGCACTAAGCCTACGTTTGCAGTTCTGCAAAGTTTAGAGACTCTGTAGATTTGCAAAATAGCGAAACTATCGTTTTTACCGCGCTGGTTTTAGCGTTAAAAGGTGTCCAAATATTTTCGTTGCCAGATTGGATGTACAGTGGCCCACAAAAGTGCACCTTTTAAAACGCAATAACTGTTTTAAAACTGATCTAACTGACTTGAATTTTTTTTAGATGATAGAGAGTCTAGTCTACTAGACGATGACTGAAATGCGTTTTCTTTTTTTAAATTTCGCTATTATTTGGAATGACAAAAAAATAAAGATCTCTCGTTTTTTAACTTTTTTTATCCGAGCCTGTAACGGAAGTTTAAAAAATGCCTTCCGTAGATCTCGTTAACTTATATGCATGCTGAAAATTTGATCGAAATTAATTGACGTTGTTATGAGTTACGCAAATTAAAGATGGCAAAAATCGCGGTTTTTAAACGATTCTGACCAAAAACTGGAAGAAATCTGCAGTTTTTAAAATCTTTCAACACACGTAGCTCGACTTTTAACCGATTTCGGTCAAATTTTCAGCACGCAGATAAAAAAGTTAAAAACGAGAGTTTTTTATTATTATTTTTTTTTGGCATCTCGAGTAATAGTAAAATTATAAAAAAGGCATTTTGGTCATCATCTGTTACACCAGTTCCGCTATCATCTAAACAAAATTCAGATCACTTAGTCCAGTTTGAAAAAAGTTATTGCGTCTTAACCCTTTGCGGACGAAGCCGCTCGACGGGTATTGCGTCGCTGTGGACGACAGGTATTGGATATAAAATAAAAATGTTATAAGATATAATTATATTATTATAAGATTATAAATATGTGGAAAACATTGCTGGTTTCTCTGGTAGTGACACAGAAAGACTGACTCGTCAAACTGAAATTCGTTCCGAACCTACGGTTAAATTAATAAATTTACGTTAATAATTAACACTATGCCGTCCGCAGATCTCAGATATGATTCTGTTGTTTGACGCCGGCAGAATAGCTTGGAAATTTTAGATTTAAAAAAAGATTTCGAAAATGGCGGTAATATGAATTCCTAAAATTAAGATAAGTCATCCAAGAATTTTCGTACTTAATTCTTAGT